TCAATAGCAGTTTCTCTGTTTAAATAAAACGGATATTCCAAACAGCCTGAATAAAAAAAAACATGAAAGGAAATTTTAAAATCAATTGAACAAGAGCAGCATCGACGACGGTGTTGGTAGATACGAAGAGAACGACAACAACAAAAACAACATTCATCATTAAGCCTTGCTGTTATCAAATGTCAAATGTGCCAGAGAAAGGTAAAGCTTTATAAATACTTTAAAATACTTCAAATTAATCAACTTTATATGTATGTTAACAACAAGAATATCAATAATAATGTTTTATTTTCTAAGTATTCTTTGCATAGTCCATTAAATTGGCTTATAATTAGTTTTTGAATAAAGTAGTAAAAATAAATGAACAATTTAGTATTTGCAATCAAATGTTTGAATATTTCCATAATTTACCAAAGGACATATTTTGTCATGACCAAACAATTAAAAAAATTAAATGGTTGAAATTGAATTGTTTCAAGGTTACATTTTTAACATACAATTTACAATTTAGTATTAGTTTGAATATTTCCTTAATTAACCAAAGGATACACCTTTGTCATGACCTAAAAATGTCAACTGCATATTTGAAAAATTGAATTGTATAAAGGTTTAATTACGTTTTTGACACACTATTCGAAATTGGAATGAGAAAAACTTTAGTCAGTCAATACATTATATAATATGTTTCTGTATTCTATTTTAAGAAAAAAAATCAGTAAGCTTAATTTCTTACTGTCGGGTTTGAGTGTTTCTTCAACGTACTGCTGAGCTAGGTACCTCAGGGCAAATGGATGCTTCCAGTCCTCTATTATCTCTAAAGCGTCAGACTACAACAAAGCACAGGTTGATAGAGACATATATTAGATAACTGACTACTTTCATAATAATTTAACGAATGGCTAAGTATTGCTTCCATTGGATGAGTATGGTTGTATTAAACCCAAAATCTGGATAACATTTGAGGAAGTGTTCAAAAATAGACCAAATTACGATACTCAGACTCAAATACGCAGCTTTGATTGTTCATTACTGTGCAACATCAATACCCAAATAACAGCCTATAACAATATCTTGCAGGTAAATATTGTTTTACGATTGAAAACAACCTGGTCTATGTAATACAAATTAGTGACAATCAATTAAAAAATAAGTCTTTATGCAAAAAAAAAAGGAACAAAATTAACAATGCCATTTTATTAAATGGTATCCTTTTGTTTCTTAGATATTAGATATTACTAAATTAAACGAATACACAATAGATTGGGATTATTTAAATTTTATCGGTATCTTGACATTTTTTAATTCTATTAGTTCTACTAAAATTAACTAAACTAAACATTTGTACCAGTAATTTTTCCAACATTATTTTTAGTTATATTTATTATTATTTTTTTTAAAGTGGCTACGTCTTAAAGCTCTTGTTGAACTTACTGTAGCCTCCTTCCATACAATGTATTTGTTTCAATTCTTTTGCATTCTTATTGTATATTGTACTACTTTTTTGTATGGAAAATAAAAGCATATTTGATTTGATTTCTTCTCGGCTTTTATCAACTTGTAGGTTATTCTGTTAAGTTTTTATGTATTCTTCATACTGGGATGAATAAAATAAAATAAATAAATTAATAAATCGATGATGCACCTGTGGCAACTGGATTAAAATATCATGTTTCCTTTCAGAATGTATTTCATCATCTGGAAGTTCAGCAAAGAATTTACGTACAAATTCTGGGGTGAGTTGAAATACCTCTCGCTCAACATACTGCAAGAATGATTGGTAACGAAGGCAACGATACCCGAGACAGGTGAAAAAAGTTTGGAAGCCTAAATTACAGAAAAAAGTCGTATAATTAGCGAAGCTGTAGGTTAGTCATTACGATACATTTCTACAAAATTTGATATGTTGGTCGTTCTTGGATATTTTTTACAGATTGAAGGCCCAGAGTACCTCTAGATGGACAGAAATAGCTCTCTCAGACTCAAATTGGAATTTACTTTTCTTTAAAACCGAAAGATTGTAATACATATACATGTATTGAAATGCACGCAATTATTTCCCCATATTTTATAATTTCAACAAAATAGTGGGGGGCGGGAAACCAGAATTTTTCTGATGGCTTCAATAAGTCCCACTCCCAAAGTATCATTTATGAGTCATACATTTGTTTGCTTGACACTAAACATGTCTGGTGGTATAAATAAAAAGTACAATAAAATATATGCAACATTAAAATATTACAAGTTTAATGCAATTACTGTAATCAGAAACCATACTACAAATGATGTTATGGTGATTTTAATACATCATCGATTAATCCATTTTAATTATTCATATAGTGTAATGCAATCAATGGCCACAAATTGAGGCTAACCTGAAGGAAATGGAAAACAAACACTCTCTGTTGCTAGGTAATACCTTTCCAGCAGATGGTACAACAGGTTATCTTTATCATTTGCTGGACTGTGTCTGCAATAACATTTAAAACTATTTGTCATTTTTAATAAATATTTTTTTAAACTTTATTTCTGACAAATACAAATTAAGAATGATTATTACTGAATGCAATTGTAATATTGGTTATGATTTATATAATTATTGATTAAGTTACTAAATAATTAACATCTACACTATTGGATTGGATTGGATTTATTCGGTATAAACACCAAGGATAGCCCACAAAAATCTAGAAGAAGATTTATTTCCAGTGGGGTCCTTCTGGTGGTGATTGGGCAGTACACCGGGAGACAATCCCCTACTCTTTTCCGAAGAGTGTACTGCATTCTTTAACGTGCACATGGGCCATAAATGCACGCGGGCCCAACGGCTTAAACGTCTTATCCGAAAGACGGTGCGCTATTGTAACTTGTATTTCAGCCCTCCAGCTGAAACACAAGGAGAGGCAGCGATGGCAATAGAACCGGGAACCTAGAGATCTCCATTGTTCTGCGCACACACAGTGGCTACTACCAGATTAGCTGACTGAGCTAAGCTGCACACTCTGAGCTAAGCTGCATACATTAATCATAAATAATTAATAATTAAATAATAATAGGGTGATGCACTGGGGCTAATTGGAAATTTTAGATTTCCAATCAGAATGAGAAGAAATGAAGAATTATTATTATTATTATTATTATTATTATTATTATTATTATTATTAAATATAAATAGCATTTCATGTAAAAATGACGCAAAATTAAAGAAAAACCAAAGCTTTATCAGAGATAAAAAGGTATTTAAAAAAAGCCCAGCAAATTGCAATGGAAGAGAACACAGCCAAATTTGCCTGTCTGCTGTGCTCCAACTGTCTAGTGGCGGTGTGATCACACAAGATATCAACAGTATTCATTTCTAAAAATAGTATCTTTATATAACTATCACACTCTACGAAGAACTGTTATGTGGAAAACCGATAAGCAAACCAACAAATCGTGCTAGGGATATAATTTTTAAAAGCAATCGAAGGGCAGCGGACATTTTCCAATAGCTGTGCATAAAACGTATTGTTGTAAAATGAGCACACTGCATTTCCTCTCTTTCTGATTTTTGTTATCTTCCCTTTCTTAATACTTACAAGGAAACACCAGCTGAACTGAGTTGCTGGTCTTCAACTCCTACAGAGTTGCA